CTTAGTGTAAGGGAACCTGACTACCAACCTGTAGATGGGTGGCTCACATCCTGCTGCTGCACACAATCATGAACCAAATGAGACTGTCATTTCTGCTACCAAGTGCATCAACTCCAAGAAAAACAAACCAAAATTCCACAAGATAACCTATACCTCTTCTATGCAGATAGTATTCAGGATGTTACTAATGAGACCCAGATATCATTAAAAGAACACTGCACAACCAATGTACCAAACTATTACCCCAAGAACTCCCATCTCTTCAAGATCTACAACTTGAGGGGGGAATAAATAACACCCAGTCCTGAACCACAATATTTCCTGTTATATGACAATGGACCAGATACCAATGCAAGGATCTTTGCATTTGGTACTGATGCTGCCTTCAACTACTCTCAGCTGCTTATACCTGGATGATGGATAAATACTTATCATATTATGAACTGCGAACATTGCAAATGTAACTTTACAAATTGTCACTAGATGGCAGGTGTGATATGATAATCTTGTTATTGAAATTATTAGGTTTGTTTGCTTTATATATCACTAAATGACATTAAAGTGTTTTGTTAGTAAATACAACTGAAACAAGAAAGAATAGATACATTTTTCTTAAAAGATTCTCAATCTTTCAAGGTATTAAATATAGAGGAACTTACTGTTTCGATGCTACTACATTCTTTTCAAGTATTAAAAAAATATATATTGTAACCAGTGATAAAAATAATAAACAATGAAGTCATCATAAAACAATAAAATATTGCAGGTGCGATAAAAAGTCATGTTTCTCAGTGCACATGAAATCATAGTATCAATTAACATATAGCTAATTTGTTGTCTGTATATACATTTATGTTGTCGTTGTGTTTCAATGTTCTTCTTGTTTAAACTATACTACAATAAGTCATAACAATGAAACTAGTTGCTGTAATGTACAACTGTAGAAAATGACTAAGCCTATAACACGATTTCAAATACAAGATTCTAGTATTATCAGCAGTGTATAATAAATTCATGTTCTGCAGTTTTCATTGTATCTTGTATATATACACTATCATATGATTCTATTCTTTAGTTAAAGAACAGTGTCATATTTGGTAGAAATGACAAATTAATCTAAAGCTGAGGAAAGTAATGTTACATTTCCACTAAACAATTATATGGACTTAGGTAAAAATGGCACATATTTAAATGTGAATTAGGCCCAGAAGTGGATACTGTGTCCTGTTCCACAAAGAAATTGTACAATGTTGTACATCCTTGCATGTGTATCTGGTCCAAGTACAGTGGTAATGGCCTGAATAACAGCTTGTTCAAAGTCAACTATGACAGTAGTTTGGTCAGGAACGTGGTCCTGTTGTTGACAACAGTCCATTACTGCCTGCATAAATTCCTCATAGTCATCTTGAGTTTTGGTTTGAGGAAGAGCATAGACAGCAGAAACAAAGGGGTATTCTGATGACATAAAGTTGGGGAAAACTTGGTGGTGTCATAGCAAAGTTCAACTACTTCAATGATTTATATTAAATTTATAAATTTTATTGACAGTTATCTATCTATAATGACAGATCATTATCAAATCTATGTTTATTATATAAACATTTTACATAAACGTCAGTTCATTTGCCAATAAAGCATTGTTCTCCAAAAATTATTTCAAAACAAGATATTTTACAAAATAAAATATAAAAATTTGGTAATATATCAGTATTATTATATTAAAATCGTAAACTTGTTCACAGAGAAGCTGTATGCTAAATATTTTGACTGTACATCAAGTTTTTTGGAAATAATGGAAGTAAAATCATGATTTTTACAAACTTCAGGAAGCCCTCAGGGCATTTGAGTTGTAATTATGTGCATAAAACAATTATAAAAACTTTCAAGCATTTAATGCTATATCAAAATATATATATGGTATATTACATGTGGAACTTAATACCAATTACAAAACAGCTTTCGTTAGACTCAACTTTCGTACAATTAGGGGAGACGTACCCTTATAATACAAACCAAATTTTTGTTGATGAAAATAAACATCACTCAGTGACATTTATTATAAATAACAAAAATATTAAACATAACATCCTCAGGGTTGTACTGGATGTTACTCTTGTACATACCCTTTAAAATATTTTTACCATTATAGTAAGAGGTGCTGTATGAACAGTCAGTTAGTAAGGTTCATGAAAGCTGGAATATTCAACACTAACTACACTAATTCTTTGTTGAAAATATGTGTCATTAAAGAAAAGAGTATTGGGTTGTTACACATAACCTGGATATTTTACTTTACTACACCATTACTAAATAAACTAATTCATCATTCAATATAATTGTTTCTAGCTTTCCTGAGATGAAACTGATAAAAATTATTGTGTGTGTGTGTGTGTGTGATAGATAACATACATAATTCAGTGTAAACAAAGTCACTCCAATTCAAGAAAAACAAAGACAATACATTTAATTTTTGTTAAAGAAACTTGTGATGATACAGGATGATTTTTTCACAAAGCTTAAAATGATTCATAATGTGGAATTTGAAGTTTTATAATAAATATTCAAAACACAGTAATACCTAAAACGTAATTAAGTTCTACTGCTTCATAATTTTTTTTAATTCCATCATTTGCATGAAAAATTGTTAACTTTAGAAATATGAAAAATATCAAAAGCTTGTGAGGCTGGAATAATCATAGAAACACATATGCATGCGTGTTTATTATCATAAACACGTGCTATAAATTATTATAATTTATTTATGCTATTTAAATTATGCTATTTATTATCATAAACACGTGCTATTGTTTCGTGCTAATCACTTTGTGATTAGCACGAACAAATTTGAATTAATCAGAAATGATTATAAAACACAAAGGCAATGTTTCAATTACTTGGATTGCTGGAATAATGAAAACAGTAATAATTGGAAACACTAATTTTGATTATATTTGTAATGTAAATAGATTTAATCATGATTTTTATTAATCAATAATTTTACATGACACTCATCAATGCTCAGAGATAATTGATTACATCAATTAATCAAGTTAATTACTCAGCACTAATAACACTAAACTTCAGTAAGATTGAACTGTAGTTTCTAACATGCAATTAATATAGTTTGAAGATATAAATGACCCAATGCCCAAGTTGAAGGTGTCTATCATGTTGGGTATTTTGAATTCAACGCTATTTAAATAATAAGAAGGATAACGATAATTAAGATGAACAACATTATTTATAACAGAAGGGAACACAGATAAATGTTTAGGAATTCTACAGATTCCATATTTAGAATGTAAATCAAAATAAAAGAATTACATCATTCCTAAATGGACAACTAAAATACATTACTGCAATAACGATAATTCAATCAGCAACATATTTTAGTTAAGTACTTAGGAATAATGTAATTCTTTTGTTTTGTTTTAGATTCTGAAGATGGAATCTGTAGAATTCCAAAACATTTATTTGTGTCTCCTTCTGTTATAAATAAACAATGTTGTTTATCTTAAGTATTGTTATCCTTTATATTGTGAAAACTTTGTTTTCCTCAGAACACATCAATTGCTAATAGTTACATAACCTACTGCATACTTATATATATATATATATATATATATATATGGGTCTAGTCTAATTACTTAAATTGTTACGTATCTGCTTGTTTGATAATTTCTGGTAAAATTCTTTCCGAGGAACTTCAGCGATAGAAGTCCTTTCTTGATTAAACCAGTTTATTCTTCCTAGATACAAACTTTTAATTCACAGTAATTCCACAGTCAATACATTTCTCGTCACTTTAAACTTAACAACTTTTATAATACACGCTATAAATCACAGTGATTCACAAACTTTACTTACCATCACTACTGTTTGCTTCTTTAATTATCTATATCTCGCTGGCTTCTCTGCCAGGCTTATATACTAACAAAGGGGGCGTCTCGAATGCACTTGGGCCTATCCGATCATTCGAGAAATTTCATGCATGCTACCAATGCCAGACGCACCAGCAGCGTCTCGTGACTTTCACTGTCATAACAATATTTTAACCCATAAAACTTTGAAGTGTAACAGTAACAAGCTCCAAAAAAGTGTTAACATTTTCATTTGACTTATAATAAATAATTTGAATAATAATATTACAAGTCAAGTGAGAATTATCTATTACAAGTCAAGTGAGAATTATCTATTACAAGTCAAGTGAGAATTATCTATTACAAGTCAAGTGAGATTTATCTATTACAAGTCAAGTGAGAATTATCTATTACAAGTCAAGTGAGAATTATC